TTTGATATGGAAGCGACGAGTTCGCATTTCCAATTGACACTACTGTCGAGCAAAATTCGGGCCCCCATAACTTTTTAAGGAGAATCATTTTGCAGTTTTAATTTGCATTTTCGTAAACAGCATTCGAAACTCTATCTATTTATCTGGGTCTGAATCCAAAGTTCCAAGATAAGTAGACTACCCCTCCCTGGTCAGATCACGAATGGCTCGTGACGAACCGCCCCGAAGTAGCCGAGAAATGGACTACACACGAAAGTCTTGCTGTGCTGTTGATTAGATTCTCCAGGGATGTTCTACTTTTAATTACTTCCTGAGGGTCGTTCCATGACCGACAAGAGTTACGTCTCTCAGCTACACAGCCTGAACGACTTTATTCGAAGGGAGTGTCCGCATAATGTTTGTCTTGTTCAGTTCGCTCGGATGCATGTTGTAAAACTGTCTCGTCAGAAGATTTCAAACTCGAGTGGAAATTGCTTCCCCATCCCCCTCATTCGCCAAAACTTGCTCCGCAGGACGACCATTTGTTTCTTGCTCTTAAACATAATCTTCGCAATATAAAATTCGATGATCGCTTGAAATACTAAACTTAGATAACCAACTTTTTCGAATCGTGGCCGCTGCGTTCTTGGTTTCAAGAATTGACAAACTGTAATTAAATTCTGTTCTAATCTTGAATTAAAATTTCTTCTGAATTTCCATTTTCTGGCTTTTGCATTCTAAGTCGAGGCTTCACTCTGGAAATAATCGTTTCTCATTCTAGCACCATGTAATGGTCTTAAAACAACGGCCAAATGCGTTAATGGGGGAGTGCCTAATCCACGAGCCTGCACAACATGTATCTGTCCGAATGGCTACGGTGGGACTCTCTGTGGACAGCGAGTGAGTCTCATGAGCTGGAAGATCCATTTGTCTAACACGTCGAAATGTTGCGATTTGTTATTAGAGTGATATTAGCCTTAGCTTTTGTGGCCCTCTGATTGTGCGAGTTCGAAGGTATCCAACGAATGATACCAAGAACTTCAGCATTCCATTTCTCACTCCTCGATCATCGAAACAACCACCGATCTTTCAGAAAGCAGGGTGCGGCGCAACTTTGGCCGCCGGTACGGCCTGGAAATCCAGAAACATCACCGTTGGTAGCACCGCTACCACAATCGTTCGAGACGCTTACTCGATGTGCACCGACTGGATTACGGTAATAATTTCTGTCTCCAAGACCTTGAACAAACGAGGTACGCAGTATCTTGATTTTTAGGCACCAGCTGGTAAAAAGATTCAAATTCGTGTGACGGCGCTTGTGAATGTCCAGTGTCAGGATACCTGCTTTCCAAATGCAATCGAAGCCAAAGTATTACTTGATAAGGCTATGACGAGCCCAAGGTAATTTTTATTGTGTTCGTTGCCACAGGTAGAGCGCTGCAATGGACTGCATGCTGATCGCTGACCATTCCAAGCACATATTTTGTAGACTTCATATCCATTGCCACTCCTAACTTGTATAAGTATAATATATAAACTTATATAAAATAGGATATTAATTTAATGGATATTTTTTTATTTATTAATATGTGCATGGTCTGTAAATGCCGATATGGGTATGCACATTTTTGTTGCCAGCTTGAGTTTCTGAGTTACCAGCCAAATTTAATTCCTTAAAATTGCACGCTTTATCTCTGACTTCCCTCTACCACAAAACAATCACATTGATAGCTTCAGTTGCGTTGTTAAGGGAATTTGACCAATTTTTGTACATTGTCGACCACAGCCTATATTTTTTGAGAATAGAAGCTCATCAGACAGAGGGGGAGATTTGGAGATTTCAAGCGGTACACAAGAAACCCCTTATCGACTTCCTTTAAAATTCATACACTTGTTGAAAAATTCTTCAGTGGAAGGTTGCATTTGAACATTGGGAACAGAAGAGATCGCTTTTTGGAAGTAGCAGACGGGTCCATGTGGAATATCTGATAATTTTCCAAGGATTTAGCTAGCATACCCCGCCCCAGAAACTAGTGTTTGCTGAGAGACTCGGATATTGTGGTAGTACCCCGAGTGGGTATCGTGGATCTGGTAGTACCCCAAGTGGGAAGGATTGAGATGGCTACTTCTCGGAGTTCGAGTTAGGCTAGACTTCAGACAACTGAAAGCAAAATGGTTCAGTTAACTTACATCTTACATCATATAACATATCCAGTTGGGCTATGCACGCTAACGCGTGTACCATGCCATGCCCAATACCGCTTACCTACGACTTGGCAGAGTGCCGATATAAACTGCATCGGTAGACCTTCCATCTCATAACTGCTTCCTCATTGTGCTCACGTGACATTCACACTCTTCATCGTGCCTACGACTTTGACTCTCGGAAGGACGGACATACAAACAGACACACGAAGTTACCGCTTTATATATAGAGAGATATCCCAAAGCGTTGTATAATGAGAGAGCTCCACTTCTGCTTTTAATTTCCTTTTCATCACTTACCAGGTCACTGAAGACCCTGTTTTTTTACAGGATCTGCTGCCCTGGACAACTGAACCAAATCCGTGTCAGCAACATCAACCCGACACCTGTCGTCGTCTACAGTATTTACTATGCTTCCTCATACACATACCAGTATAGATATATTTAAATTCGGTAATTTTTGTCTGTCTAAGCTTTTGAGAAGAGAATCGCCGGAACAGTTCGCGTCACAAGTTACATAATTGAAACTAACCTCCAATTGTGCTACTTCAGAATCGTGATATGAGCGTCATGTACTTCTACTGAGGATTTTAACTCTTTCTAAGCCATAATCGTATACTAATAAATAATTCGAAGCACTTAGACTTTTGAAGAAAATGAGTTAATAAGGGCAAGTTTTCACTGAAAACGAGGAGGGAATCCTCTGGGGCCCTTTGCGGCCGAGGTTGCCCTGGGACACTCGAAGGAAAATTGTACCGGGCAATGGCGAAGACTATGAGCCTTAACAGCAGCGAGTGCTGTCCCGTGAGTGAAAATCATGAAAGGCAGCCTCACTCTGTTGCAATGAGCATCCTGACATAGGAGTGCGATTGAAGGCAACTAAACCGGATCGGAAACGATGACACCAACGCGGCCAGGTGAATAGCCTCTGGGACTCAAGGTAAGCGACCACCAAGAGCCTCAAAGAAGAGGTGGTGTAGGTGATCGGAAATAACCTTCCGAAACTAAAGTGACAGCAGAAGATGCTGTGGAATTGTGGACAGGTGAAAGTAGAGACCGCTGACAGTAGCAATTGACCCTCGACGGCGATTAAGCCAGGGAAAGGAGAGATCATTGATAAGTGTACAACCCTTGCAGTCAGCCCTTCAGCTTTCGAAAATAGAAACTTCGGCAAATTGCAGTAGACAAAAAAAGTAGATTAATTTGTCGCATTCAAACTGGTAGATTCCCTACCGGCTGGACTTTTTAGATGGATCATTTTTCTTTGTTTATGGGCCAAGATTTCCGTTTTGACGCTGTGCTGCAACAATGGACCCTCTTATGGTTTTCATTTCTAGGATACAAATAATTGTAACGTCAAAGGTCCCAACGTCATGGAAAATGAGAGGAGATTGGCTTTCAGTCGAGAATCCATATGAAATTATTATCGTAAGAACAGTAACTATCACTTCATTGATTGAACCATGTGGTCCTTACCCCTCAGCTTCAATTGTGAAATATGAGAGTGGTCTATGACTTCCAGATCACTTTGCCTAATCCGTGATCTTGTCTTCTCTGTCAACTCAGAAAGATAAAATGCTGGTTGAACGTAGCTAGAGCAAGATCGAGCCGTTACCGCCCCAACATCTACCACCACCTCCTTTCTCCCTCTTCGTCTTCATTCAACTTGATACACAATCGTATTTCCAGACAATGAAGTGACTTCTGTTGGAAGCATTTGAATGATAATTCGGAACTCACAAGAATTGCCATAGTTGAGCTGCGCATCAGAAGATTGCAAGCTCAGCATAATAGACGCCGTCCCGTCGTCTTGTCGTCCTCGTTTCTCGATCGACCGGCCCTGAATGAACAGTTTTGAGGAAACTGTTAAACATCCGTTTCAAAACAGAAGAAGTTACTGGTCCCCTTTTATTTTATTTGCAATGTTCATAAAAGCATTTGATACTTGAACTACTTCGTTTGGATTGAAGGCTACGGCACGGTGAAATGAGCACTATACAATGAGAATGACAGGAGCAGGAAGGTTGCTGACGAAGAAGAGTTAATAGACGGGTATGTGTACGAACGTGCGTCCGAGGATGCGCGCGGCAAATTGCGCGGCGAAGTTCGTAACGATTCGAACGACTTTGGCGCCTATCATTGGGGCCCAAATTTGAAGTTGAGTAGATTAGAAGGATCATCTGACCATACTAAACTACTCTACTTCGAATTTGTGCCCCGAAAATTGGCGTCAGAGTCGTACAAATCATCACGANTCCGAGGATGCGCGCGGCAACTTGCGCGGCGAAGTTCGTGATGATTTGTACGACTCTGACGCCAATTTTCGGGGCACAAATTCGAAGTAGAGTAGTTTAGTATGGTCAGATGATCCTTCTAATCTACTCAACTTCAAATTTGGGCCCCAATGATAGGCGCCAAAGTCGTACAAATCATCACGAACTTCGCCGCGCAAGTTGCCGCGCGCATCCTCGGACGCACGTTCGTACCGTCCCCCATACCGCTACCCATACATGAAACCCACTCAACTGCCCGTCTCCCCAAGATAAAAAGGTTATTTTTTATATAATGTTATACGAAATTTGGCTTATCTTTCGAAGGAACCAAAGGTGCTCTTATGATCATGTGCCCAATTGGCTCAGCTGGGCTTTGACCGCGAGGTGGCAACAATCGGAGCCACTCGCGATCGGGATTATCAATTCAATAATCCGGATCAGTTATAATTTATTTGTGATTGTTGAATTATGAAAACTAAAATGAAGAGCTATTTATCTGAGCTTTTTGATTCTGACGGCTTTGCGGTGAGCAGCTTTCCTAAAACGGAATTGATCAGCGTCTGTAAGCTTTACACTTTAAACATCAACTAAAAGTTACTCCAATAACTACAGAAGGGGATATAGGGCTGACATATTCATCACGAGAAATCTGGCCATCGTTTCTTACACTAAACGTACAGTACCATACGAAGAGCTAATAAAGTACAATAGAATGGCCGCACGTGATGTGAGCGGTCCACTTTGTAGAAGCAAAAAATCAATCTGCTGGCGAGAAATGATGTTCGACCCCATTTAGCTGGTTCCGCGTACAATATTAATCGGGTTCAAGCAGGAGTTAGAGTTCACGGTACGGTTGGAGAGTCCGAATTTATTGAAACATGGTCTCGAGTATATAAAAATGCACTACATTCAAGTTTATTCAACAGCTTCTGCTCTCTGAAGATACAGTACCCTCACGCTTTTCCCAAGTACTTTTGTGTTTTTCAAAATCCCAAATATATGAATATTACAGGGCCCAGTAAGGGCTGTAGAAAGATGTTTGGTGCGTTGCTTTTTCTTACCGTACTATTCGACAGCAGTTACTGCCTTTCTGAAAAGGGAAGGATCGCTTTGACAAAGGTGATTTTTGAAAAAAAAGAGTGAACAAATTCGAAACGTATTCTGGACATCTGTTTTCCCGCTGCTTTTCATTTCCCACTTCGATGAATCTGTCTCATAATGATCCCTCCTGATTGGGATATTCCTCGGTACCATTCCTAGTGTCCCGAGGGAATTCGTTCACGACGAATCTAAATGTCGTCAAAACCTCAGTGCTATTCTCTCTTATTGTGCCTTGCCCCGAAGTCCAAGATCTCTTCAAGAGTCCTCTTTATCTCCCTGAACAGAGAAATCAGCCCACCTGTACACTAAAATTAGTCCGAGAACGATTCCACTAATTGTCCTTTGAAGCAGCCTCCCTACTTCCTTTGCTCCATCTTTCTCTTTTTTTTTCTAATCAGTTCTTTCTTCTTTTCTCATCAAAAAAGGTGTTTCTTTCTGTTTCACTTCTTCTTTCCTCGCTTTGCTCGATAGTTGGAATTAAATACTACTTATACACCATGTAGCAAACCCCTTTGATGTGCAAAATAAATAAATGAATGAAATTACTCCTTTTCTTCCCCAAACCAAAATTCCTGGCTTCTAATTTTAGGCTTATGGAGGGATCGACATTGATAAGCGCTATGAAAGGCTGAAAAACCTCGGAATGAAAGGACTGGGACGAGACCCATCATCTGAAAAGGCATCAGCGTCTTCGAAAGTGAGTTCATCACCTCCCATTTCGAGACCTGTGACCCTATCGCATCTGATTATCCATTGAAGGCAAAGACTGAAGGAAATACCTCAGCGGATGAGGGTTCGATCGCAGAAGTGAATCGAAGGGAAGGAGTCGACGAGTACTTGTTCAATGGCGACATGATTCTCACTGAGTACGTAAAATCTTCCTATCTGCTATTTGTTTATATTGTTTATATTCCCTAATCAATTTTTCGTCAACACTTATGAATGGACCCATGATCCTATGAAAAATGGTAACTGCCGGGGAGCTTTTGAAGATCTTATCTCTTGTGATTGCGAGCTTTTTCCAATTAGCACTAGCTACATATATACCAGGGTCATCCGACCCATCTGTGAAATTCAGCAAATTGCTGACGAATTCGGTATTTATCTGAGAAACCCAGATAGTTGGAGCGCTAAGATTGCCTTGCTCGGACATGCCCCAAAATCATTCCAGAAACCATGAGTCTCCTACTT